GCATATTAATTCCCCTAATTAGCATGATCTAATTAATTTCTGACTAGGATTCCAAGAAATTAAACCTTACTGTGATAATTACCAATACCTAAAAAAAACAAATATTACAAATGTTAATTCTATAGGTTATAATCTATTTATGAATTGCTATTGACTCCATGACAGTTTGATAAACATAACAGCAACAAAATCTGTTCATGCACACTTACCCACAAAAGGAACAGTTGATAAATCTTCTTATTTCTATGATTTACTGATAAGGTTTTTAAAAGTTTTGTTTATAATTAAAGCTAAACTTTGGGGTTGAGAACGGTCGCCATTTTTTTTCAATTATGTGATTCATGAAAAAATTCTGTTGGCTTGAATTCCTGCATATTAATGAGGTTTGTGAATATTTAATTAATCTTATGAATATTAATATTTTCTGTTTCTGTTTCTGTTTCTGTTTCAGAGTATCAATTCCGATGTTAAAGATGCTGGATATCTTATTGACAAATGGTTGTTTTGAAATATTTACACAGCGAGAAGAGTGAGTGAATTTTATGGAATATTAGCTTGGAATATATTAGAATATTCCTGATCTCTTGACCTTTAAAATTAACTGTTTCGTTTAAAGTGTGAACACATATTAATATTACTGAGTTATTTTGCATATTTGTAATACACAAAAAATCAAATTTATATCTTCTGCTGTGAATATGTTGTGAATGCATAGACCATGGTAACCTTGGTAAACACTTAATTCCATGTTCAGTTTACATTAATGAGACACCTGTAGCAAACTGGTCAGTATCTTGGCTGGCAATGTTGCTGCCAGTGACAGTAATTACAACCAAAGTAGTAATCTCACTTCTTTTTTAAATAAATTAACTAGTTTATCTTTGTTTGTTATTTTGTCCACCTCTAGACACTTTCTTCCTGTGAAGTTACTGGAATTATGCAAAAAAGAAATCGAGAAAAGTGGAGATCCGCAGAAATTATTAGCCAGTATTGACGTGTGAGTACCTTTATATATGGTATTGTCTTGGTTCAAAATTTGATATTATATTTGCCAGTATTGACGTGTGAGTACATGACAGAATGCCATGGCCTCGTCCTTACATTTGTGGGCATGGAAGTTATTTTTACCACTTTATAACCACTTCATTCAAGACTTTAGTATGAGTGCAAGTAATGCTAGGAACCTATTTCAAAATCTGTTCAATGATTGGTTAATCCGGCATTCCATTATTCATAAGCAAATGTTGGCAGAAGCGCATGCTTCACTATATTTTGTAACGAAAATGCTGACCAACAAATGAAGCAAACAGAACACAATTCACGATCAAAATCAGAACTTAATACATTACAGTCTTTGGACATTTCTTAAGACGTATGTGTTTTTACATTGAATCAAAGAATGAATGAAGTATCAGCACCCACAGATTATGTGTCATTGCCGGTCACTATTTTCAAACATTTTGATTTCTTTTAAAAGCTATAGGTACTATTTTTTTAAATTTGTTTATCAATATATAAACAACATTTTGATTTGTTTTGATTTGCTCAATATCTGATGAAAACACCGATTACAGCTTTAGCAGTGGCACATCATTTGACTGTACTACATCATGCTATGAAGGCATCAGTTTACCATGAAAATACCAAAATTATTATTACTTGGACATGTGACTAATTTGCATATTTATTTCTTGGCTTTTTGTGCAAAAAATTGATTTGGAATGTTTTATTATTCAGATATGCACAACTAAAACAATTT